TTTTTTTTTTTTTTTTTGTAAAGAGAAGAAGGTGCGAATTGAGTCACTTTGGAGAATGTTTTAACTTTAAGCACTATTTGTGTGCGATTTCTCAAAAAAGGAAAAAAAAAAGGCTGAACTCGCTAGCTATTACTTTCATTTTTTTTTTCGAAATATGATTCCTATATGAGGAAAATATTTGATGTGAAACGAGAGAGACTCATGAATGCTCATTCCTTTCTCTATTTTCTGATTTAAAGCTAGAAATTTGCATTTCTCAAGCTCTTATTTCTGCCGCTTCTCAAAGGGGATTTTGAACTTTTCAGTTTCTTTAACATCCCTGTGAGTTTCTTTCTTCTGTTGGCCAAATTATCAGTACTGTCATGTCTAATAAGAATTATCTTGTTTTCATGGTGTTGTGTATGTTACTAAGTAGTATCATCGCCCGTTCGCAGGCTACACTCAGCCGGCCATTTGCTGGATATTTGTGTACGAAACGTGGGATGGACCCACTTGGAACCTACCAAAGGGCACCATTTTCCCGACGGGTAAGCTCTTTTTAATGGTTATGAAAGCTTATGCGGGTGTGTCTTTGTAAAGATAATTTCTGTCCGAGCTGCTCATTTGATGTCGTAATTCGATTGCATTAATTCATTTCTTACAAAAGAGAAAAAACAGAAAATAATTCTCTTGATAACAAGTAGCTGTATTTATTACTCAGTTGCAAATAGTTTTTTCAAGAAAATATATGCATGATGATGGATATATACTTGACGAGGTTCATCTTTCACGGTTATTAGCTGTGGTGTATCGTAAACTGCACCCTGTTTATGGTGTAATTTGTAAAACAATTGCAGACTTCAAGCTGTATTTATGACTTTAAGATTTTTTTGGTAAGAAAAAATCTTGAAATTTTACTTGGTGATTATGTTTCATGGTTATCTACAATTTTTTTGGTAAGACAAAATCTTGTTGAAATTTTACTTGGTGATTATGTTTCATGGTTATCTAGATTGTAGCTCATAGGTTGTAATTTTTTGTGTTAAAAAAAAAATTTCAGACCGTTTGTGGAATACAAAGGTACGATTCCACAGAATGAATTGCAAAGCAAGCAAAAGGAGCTTGAATTAGAAGCTAGCCATTTAATCTCAAAAGGAGGGAAGGTTTGCATTTGTACTTGTATCCGACTTAACTTTTTTTATATGTATTTATGTAATGGAACTGAACCAACGAATTGTGAAATGACCATGTGATGTTAATACAACATTATATGCAGGTTTCTGTGTCGATTTTACCATATGATAAAGCTGCTGAACTTTGTGGTGGATCACTCCCAGACTATATACCAAAGGTCGGAGAGTGATATTAACCGTCTTTTGTGTTTATTGTGTTCTTCTCTACAATTTTCTGCACACACTAAATCGCATTTGATTGCCAATTATGGTTAAGATGTGTGTGTGTGAGCGCGTGTTTATGGATTTCAACGCTGCTGATTGTTCTTCTCCATTTAATTTTAAGTATTTTAACAAAAGTACTTTCCTTTTTTTTTTTTTTTCTTTTTTGTACAAGAAAGGAGGCGCACCTTGAAACATATTCTTAACTTCTACTTTGGAGGATCTAAACCCCATTATGATAATCATATTTTGATTTTAATATTTTTAACCTCTTTTTTAACTCTTTAACTCGTTTCTGATTCTATTTCTCACGAGCTATGACTGGCTTGGCTTTTCTCAGGACAGCTCGCCTAGGATCGTGCAATTGGGACATAATCCAGGATGCCCTTGTGGTGGCACGCATGTTCTTGACATCAACGAGATTTTGAGCCTGAAGGTACGAATTTCCAGTTTCGGCACTTGAAAAAATCATCGTAATATTATTTTTTTTTTCTTTATGTGTGGATTTGTGGCTTTTGTTGCTCATGCTTTTTTTTTTTTTCAATGTC